ATAATTGATCAGATATTGACCAGATCCCCTCTCAGTCTTCTCCAGGCTAAACAGGCCCAACTCACTCAGTCTCTCCTCATACAATAGTTGCTCCAGTCCCTTAATCACCTTTGTTGCTCTCTGCTGGCCCCTCTCTAGAATCTCCACGTCCCTCTTGTCTTGTGGAGCCCAGAGCTGCCTCCCAGTGCTCCAGGTTTGGCCTCCCCAGAGCTGAGCAGAAGGGCAGGATCCTCCTCCTCAACCTGCTGGCAACACTATTGCCAGATATTTAGATATTATATAGATACAGATATTTAGATAGCAATATTGAGATATTTAGGCCAAGACATAACAAGGCCCTCAGAAGAGCTTGCTGATGCCTATCAACTACAAGTTGATTTCTTGAAGCCTGTCTGTAGAGCTAAATCTTGAGAGACTAGAGTACTGTCTATATCTTTCTCACTTTATATATATATCTTTCTCACTCCAGCTGCCTTTCTTGGAGAGCAGAAGTTTTAGTCCCCACATCAGGACTCGCTGTTGGCACCTGAGCTGCTCCCATCTGGTCACGGCGCAGTGACCCTCTCCCAGCTTGCAGGCAGAGGCTCCAACCTGTCCTCAACCTTTGGAAGCAACAGCAAGAGTCTACAAAAAAAAGATCTCAAGMAGTCACTCATGCCATAAGCATAGGAACCAAGGAGGCCGACAGGGTTCCAGAGGGTGGGAGAACTCTGCTGAAGCTTTGCCCACACAGCGAAACTCATGTTTCCTGGAGGCAAGCACCTTCTTTTTCCCCCACCACAATTCAAAGTACCTTCCATTTCTGGGATGTCCAGACCATCGGAAAGAGCTAAAACCAGGCCCAGACACGTCACAAACTGCATGATTGCATTAAACTCACTTCTTTAGAAAAATCCCTCTGCAGGTATCTCAGATGACCAGAGCAAAGGTCCAGAACTCGTTACCCCTGGCAGATGACGCCAAGATGGCTCTGATGGACACCTTTTCCTTTCCCAAACTCTTAGCCCTTTCCTTTCTGGGGAGAGGGGAACAAGAGGGTATCTTGGCATCAGACCACAAGTAGCTCCACTCTAAACTAGCGTTTTCCCAAGCCGTACAGAAGCCCAGGGAGTTTATGGGCRTTACAGACTGGGTCAGGCCTTCGCCATTGCTGGCTCCCAGTGCCCCCGTGTCCTTTGAGCTATTCCTCTCCAATTTTACAGGAAAGGCCGTGGTCCTATTGCTTAGCCTTTGGATTTTGAGCCTTTAGAGCCTTGGTGGAGGCCAGGCTCTAAATTTCACAGAGCGCAAGCAGAAGACAGGGCAATTAATCTCTGCTCGGTCCTATCTCCCCTAAGATTGTGGGCTTCCTCATTGATGTTCTCCACTCCCCAGCACGCCTCATGTCAGCAGGGTTTCCAGATGCCAATCCAGCAAGCAGGTCACCCGGGCCATGGCTGCTTGCCTACATCTCCATGTAGGCAAGAGGAGACAGCAGATAAGCAGCAGCAACTAGAAAAAGAGACCAAGAGCAAAAGGCAGCTCCTTGTTCTGGAGGCAAGGAGAGAGGGCAGGAAAAGGAGGGACCTCAGCACCCCAAAGCAAAGCGAAGGAAGAGGCAAGAGGTTCAAAGCACAAAGCYCCTTCTAGGGGAGAAGGCAAAAGAACTGCTGTGTTCTCTGTGGGGGTCCCTATTAGCACAGATTAAGTCTCCTCAAGCAGAGCTGTCAACGTGAGGCTAGTGCAGGGCCAGGTAGCAAAGTCCATGCACCCTAACCCTTAACCCCTAACCCCAACCCCTAAGCCTCTAACCTTAAACCCTAGCCCCTCTTCCTCTTCTGGCCACCAGGTGACACCTATGGGGGTTGGGATGTGTAGTCCCATTCCAGGTGTAATCTTCTGTCTTCCACCAGGAGGAGCTCCATGTCTATCTCTGCAGTCCAGGTGTAGTGGGTGTATGCATGGGTAGAGTAGTGGGTAATTATTTATGTATTATAATAAAAAAAGAAGAAACAATAATAGGTTTGGGGGGATTTTGCAGGGCTCATTTGCATATGCAATGAGCTCTAAAGCAAGAAAAGGATACTAGCTGGGAATAAAAAAGTAAATAATAATAAAGTTAAACTATTATTTAATTTTTCACTCCTAGCTACTATGCTTGAAAGAAGAAGAGAGAAGAAAAGGAGCAAAGAAGAAGGAGGAGACCAAAGAAGAAGAGCAAAGAAGGAGAGCAAAGCAGAGGAAAGAGGAAGAGCTAAGAGCAAGGTGGAAGAGCAAAGAAGGAAGAGCAAAGTAGAGCAAAGAGGAAGAGCGAAGAGCAAGATGGAAGAGCAAAGAAGGAAGAGCAAGGTAGAGCGAAGAGCAAAGAAGGAAGAGCAAGGTAGAGCGAAGAGCAAAGAAGGAAGAGCAAGGTAGAGCGAAGAGCAAAGAAGGAAGAGCAAAGAAGGAAGAGCAAAGAAGGAAGAGCAAAGAAGGAAGAGCAAGGTGGAAGAGCAAGGTGGAAGAGCAAAGAAGGAAGAGCAAGGTGGAAGAGCAAGGTGGAAGAGCAAGGTGGAAGAGCAAGGTGGAAGAGCAAGGTGGAAGAGCAAGGTGGAAGAGCAAGGGCAAAGTGGAAGAGCAAGAGCAAAGAGCAAGGTGAAAGAGCAAGAGCAAAGAACAAAAAGCAAGGTGGAAGAGCAAGGTGGAAGAGCAAGGGCAAAGTAGAGCAAGGGCAAAGTAGAGCAAAGAGCCTCCCCAGGCCACCATGYGCAGRTGGTCCCAGGGGCCCTGMGGGCTTTTGTGCGGCCTGCAATGGTCAAATTTGCAACACGTGGTTAGCAGCGCCGGGCTGGGCCCATGCGGGGATCTTGCTGTGAACTATGGGCTGCTTCCTGCGGCTGCAATACCGCCTCTCCCGCGCGGGCTGCAGCAGCCGGCATCGCATGTACGTCCCGGGCGCTGCGTCTGCCTCAGTATTTTAAATTTACCGCTGAAAACGGGGTAGTGATGCTGCAGCACAGGCAAAGCCAGCAAACTTGCCAAATTCAGCACTGCCCCCAGATAAAAGCCTCACTGAGGGGACACGTGGCCGCGCACACTCTCTAGAGGCCACCCAGTCGTGCAGGAAGAATTTGGTTTACCCTCTGTTGTCCCCAGGAGCGCGGCTACCCTTCCCCGGGGAGCCTGGGCGCCGGCTTTTCCTATTAGGCCCTTCCCCAGCTCCTCACCCTCCTCGCTGGGACACTGGCTCTGTGTGCAGACACAGGGCAGTAAGGAGTGGAAACAGGTTTAAAACTCACCGGGACACAGCCCAAGCCGGGTTTCCATCCCAAGCCTGCTGCAGCCCCAACGCCTTTCCAGAGACAGCGACCGTGGAGAAGTTGMGATCTCCTGGAGGAGACAGCTTTGCCAAGCAGGGTTATCTGTGAGAGCCTTTTCTGGCTTCCTCATACTTCAATATAAGTATCATACTAATAAGTATCAAAGATAAGTATTWATCTTTGATAGACAACGTAATCTGGTCCAGCTACTGCAGCCCCAGCCTGCCTTGGCACGGGCACTGCCGGGCGAGCTTTGCAAGGCGCAGCAGAGAAGTGCCGAGTCTCAAGACCAGGTACTTTGATACCATCTTATCTATGGAAAATAAATAACTGTGCTCTTTGCCAAGCCACGTTCATGTAGGAAATGCCCCATCACGTGACAGTTTTTCCTCCTTCTTTCTGCTGCCATTTCTTGAGCTGATTGACCTTTCTCCATGTCCCTACGGGAGTGCAGAGAGTATTTGAGCACATGTTGGTTACACAGGTGGGTTACAGAGGTGGGCATGAAGCCTCCTGGCTTCGTAGGGCGTGAGGTGCTGTGGAAGTGCTGCTGCGCTTTGCTCTGCTCCTCGGAGCAACCACCGGTCCCCCCCGTCGCTTCTGGGTCCTCTTCATCACCAAGCAGCCTACCTGCCACACAAGACCACGGGCAAACGGGGAGCTTGGCAAGGCTCCTGCGCCGAGGGGGACACGGTCCTCGCCACAAGCGCCCGCTTCTGTGAGGGAAGCTGCAACGAGAAGAGAACTTCACTCCTYGGATGCGAAACCTGCTCCAAAAAAATTCAGTTAGCTGGATGATGCAGAGAAGCTGACAGAGATCCCACCATGACAGCCAGCCTGAGGAAGCAGCAGGAAAGCAGTTTTTAGTTTCCATTTATAACGCAAAACACGGGCTGCTAGGATCAGTTACCAGTGATATTTAACAACCTTTGCTAATTCTGCTAGCAGTGACTCAAGAGTGTTGGGCTTGTGGTGAAAAAACAGGCAGGGTGTGAGAAAATGAGACACATTGGAGGTTTAATCTGTCTGGAAATAATCTTTGAAAAAAAATAAAAAAGGTCAAGAAGTGTTAGGGATAAACTTTACATCTCAGAGCTATAATGGGACAGAATAAACAAGTTGTGAAGAAGAGGAGCAACAGCTGAGGTGATCRAGCCTGAAGAAGGTTTGCACATTTCCTGCTTTAGCAGAAGCTTTAGAGAAGAAAATAAGGTTCCTCTCTTCGTTTAGCAAAGGTAGATGATTCCAAGAAGGATGGGCATATGGGATACAAACCCCCAGTGCAGTTGGAATGGTGACAGCTCCCTGCAGKGGCTGTTTTGCCCCTTGGAAACTGCGTTTCATGCAACTGCAGAACGAGKGCAGAAGTGGCCCAATACTGTGAAAGGGGACCTGGAATCATCAGCATTTTCCTGATGGAGATTCAATTTCAGTAGCTCTGTTGAAAATCAAATTCTGTGAGGGCACAGTGTAAGCAGCTCCATGGTTTGAGGACCAGCTGCAGTAAGCAGGTCCTCAAAAGGGACCCTTAAAGAGGGAGAGGGAGAGGGAGAGGGAGAGGGAGAGGGAGAGGAGCCCACAGCGCAGACCCCGCGGCTGCAACACCAAGGGCCAGGCCCAGGCAGGAAGGGGAAACCTCCACCCCCCAGAACGACAGCCCAGGGCACGAGTAAAGAAACCAGTTTGTTTATTAATGGTCCTGTACAAAAGGCACCGCGGCGAGAGAGAACAGGCTACTCCAGCATGCGGTTTGTCTCCAGCACGGTCTGCAAGATCTCGTCCACCTGATCCGACTCGAAGTTCATCTCCCGGAGCTCCAAGCGGGGGAGAACCAAGGAGAGCAGCCAGCTCACATTCATACGCAGGTTCTTGAGCTTCTCCAGAACGCTGTGGGCAGGAGGCAAAACCAAGATAGGGGAGCCTGTGGCAGCAGCCCGGCCGCGACACCCCCCATCGCACACGCGGCCGCCGTCCTCCTGCCCACCGGCACGGCCGGGTGTCCCCGGGGGCCCTTCCTCCCCCSCACTGTTATTTGCCCTGCAGACCCAACACTGCGAGAGTGGCTCAGCAGGATCACGTCACAGTGTAGGATGGACCAGAATAGGAAAAGCACCTTTTTTTTTWAATTTTTTTGTTTCAAATCTGGTCAATTATTTGGATCCACCTGTTGATTCCACCCCCTCACGACAGCAGGATCTTCAGATACGATCCAGCCTCCAGGGTGACTGAYACCAGGGCAGCAGTGTCGATGGAAACGGCAGCCCACAACTACCCCTGCCCTCACCTTAACACCACTGGGGACAACCCAACCCAAGTACTGACCTCTTCACATCTCCTTTCTCCAGGCCCCTGCAGGAAACTTGTGCCTCCCTGAGCAGCTCTAAGTGCAGCTCTGTCTCCTTGAGCCTTTCCACCAGCTCAGCCTTCTCCTCTGCGCATCTTGCCAGCTTTGCTTTCAGCTCCTGCACCTCGGCTTGGCCATAACCTGTATGTCTCTTGCTCCAGTACAAGCCTTCAGTCTCCTGAGCTCTGAGCACTGCCAGTTCCTGCTGGCTTTTCAAGAACTCTGTTTTCAGGTAACACTTTTCACGCTCCATTTCGTCCACCTGAAAMGGGAAGAGGATCACACATAGGAATGGCAGCAACCAGCAAAATGCTTTCCTAGGCCTCAAGGAGAAAGGAAGAGTCAGCAGGTAAGGAAGAAGCCCATCAGTTTCCTTATGGAAACATCTCTCCTACTCGAGCCACTTGGGCCAACCCACTCCAACATCCTCCTAACCCACCAGGCTGCACAGCCACAGACTGGTTACCTTGCACCGGAGCAAATCCCTCTCTGCAGAAACGTTGGTCAGCTTCACAGAGATGTTCTCCATTGCCCTTCTCGTGTTCTCCTGCTCCATCACATCCTCCTGCTTCCCTGGGCTCAGAACCTGCAGTTCTCCTCCTCTGTTTCCAGTCCTGAGGCACGGGGTCTTCCCCACGCTTGGCCTGTCCAGTGTCTCCTTCCACYCAAAGGGGAAGAGCTGAATGGGAGCCTCAGCGCCCACAGGAGCCTTCGAAACACCGACGAGCGCCACGAAGGGCCCGCTGTCCATGTCCTGGGCGCTCTCGTAGCTGCTCCCGCAGGCGCCTGTGTCTGCAAGCTGCCTTCCCGCTCCGAGGTCTGGCACAGGGCCCCGCTGCTCATCCCGGAGCGCCGCGGGCTCCCTGTGCCCCGGGGCCGGGCCCGGCGCCTCCTCCCTGCGGCAGCCCCCGTGCCAGCGCCAGCTGCTGCTCGCAGGGCAGGGGCTGCCCAGGGCGCGCGGCAGCCCCGCGAGCAGGTAGGTGCACAGGCCGCCGGCCCCGCTTGCCTCCCGCTTTATGTACACCAGGTCTCCCTTGTCCTGGTAGCGCTGCCCAGGACTCTTCCGCAGGGGGAACGGAGCGTGGCTGGGGCAAGGCACATCCGAGGCCGAAGCTTCCACCTGCGCTTCACGCTCTTCGAGGAGCTCTTCTTTTACAGGCAAGCTGGCCTTGCTGTAAAGGCAGAGACAGAGGGTGAGCAGCGAGGAGAGCCACGTCCACCAGGTTCTCCCAGGGGAGACACCAGCGCAGCGCCCTAGGGCACGGCGCCCCCGGCCACSTACCGAGCTGCTGGCGGGGGGCTCGGCTCCTGTCCCGCTGCTCCTGCCAGCCTTGCGGTGGCCTTCTCGAGAGGAGGGGAAGAGGCAGCAGCCCCATCCGCGGCCCTGTCCCGCCGCTCCAGCTTCACAGCACAGCTGAAGGTGTTGGTGCAAGCAGGGCAGAGCGCTGACACGGGCGACAATGCCTGGGGAAGAAGGAAGCRTTTGACAAGGGTAAGGGGAGAGCCTGCCAAGCGGTGCCGTGGGAAGCCAAGCCTTGGCCAAGAGGAAAGAGGCACGAGAAGACAGCTCCGTCTGAGCAGGTTCCACCAGCCAGGTACTAAGTTTAGGTGCCTTAACCAACAACCATCCTTGGGAGRCGACCAGTGGAGAAGGTCTCGGTCCCCCACACTGTGTCCTCCACCGTTTCACCAGCAAGGACTTGGCCTCAGCCCCAGTGCAGGCRGCGCTGCCACCTGCGAGCACCTCGTGACTAACCAGCTCACACAGAATATTCGCTCCCGCCGGCCCCAGAACAAAGAGCGCCCCGTTCACACCCCGTTATCCTGTATCACGGGTGGCACAGGTTGTGTTTCAAGCCACGAGGGTGTCTCCTTGGCTTGGGGGAGAGCGCTTTAGCTTCTCCGTGCTCCAACGAGGCGCTTGTAGCTGAGCAGCAAGAGCTTTCATGCGTGTTACGGGGAAACATGCAAAGGACAGCAACTCTCTACACACATGCACATAACACGAGGTGACCGTGTCATGGAGGAGAAACGAGCCACAAAGAGGACAGAAGAGACACTGATGCAGCCACGTTGTGGAAAGATGACAAACGTGAGTGAGGACAGAGTTCCTCCCAGAGAACCTCCGGGGCTGGCGCTCTGTGACAGTTACCAAACAGTTACCAAACTCTCATTTAGGGACGTGCACTGCAATAGGCAGCTTTATTAGCCACAGTTCACAGGAGTAAAAAGTTGTGCATGAGGATGAGAAATCCCCTGTCCTTACTCGGTTTGTCCTTTCCAACACACTGAGAAAGACTAGTCTAGCATGCAACGTGGGGGTATGTGCTGGAGCAGGGCATGCAGAGAGCCTAGGCTGGGGGTGCAGAGCCACGGGAGGGCGTCTGACCACCACGGCGAGTGCTGGAGGGGACTGTCCCTGCTGGATGGCCAACCTGATCACACGCTGCAGTGTCCAGGGCTGCCCATCCTGGGAGAACCCATCCTGGGCAGCTGTGTCCGAAAGAGAGTTCTCCTGAAAATTTAAAACATCAGAGTCTTTATACAACTGGTTAACCTGACGAGGGGGAAGGAGGCCACACAGCACCAGCCCTGCAGAGCCAGGAGAGGAGGCAGGGACCTCACTACACCCTCATGGGGTGGTGAGCAATGAACTCAGTGGGACAAGGCAGGACAGGGTCGGCATGTGCACAGGGCCGGGGACTGCCAGGTCCCCATTACTGTTGAAGGTTTGAAGCCTGTGAAAGCTGTGCCTCGAACACAACTGCTGTCTCATTTTGCATGATGCTCCATCGTGGTCTCGTGYCAGCTGCTTTCTCCGCAGGAGGAGGGAAGGAGAACAGTGAGGTGGCAAGAACGAGACCCTGCCAAGCCCTGCAGCCCCAAGCAGCCTCCCCCCATGCTGGCTCCCACCTGTGTCACCTGCTGCTCCACACTCTCCCCTGATGACAGGGAAAACAGCCTCTTCCTCTTCCTCTCTGCRCTCAGCTCGCTAGGCCATGGAAGAGAAAAAGAGGGGAGGTCACACAGAGGAGCAAGACACGCTCGCTGTCAGGAGATGGAGCCTGGGATGCAGGAGAAAGGCAGCGGACGTGGCCTGCACCAGCAGCCACCAGGCTGGAGGGGCCACTGCTGGGCAAGGACGSCGCTGACTTCCCTCCTGGCTCCAGGCAGCTGGTGGCAGGGCAGAACTGCCCATCCTCACCCCTTCCTGTGCTTCTGGATGGGGCTGAGGCTCTTCTCCTCGTCACTGGTGTCCTGATCCTCGGGTGCTGAGCAGTTTCTGCAACAAAAGCAATTCACCACACTGCAGCATTTGAAAGAACAGTTTGGCTCCCCCTCCCACCAAAAGTCTCCATGATTTGGGGTCTTCATGGTTTGGAGTCTCCATGGTCTCCATCTGCCCAATGTCTCTACTCTTTTAGGATTTCAGACAACATAAGACCATGGAAACAGCTGAAGAGTCAAAYGCTGCATTTAAGGGCAGAGGGAGAGTTTTCTCCCCTCTACCCCCCCTCTAGTTTCCTATAAGGAGTCTCTGCACTCCCAAGTGCATGGTCAGAAAGCAGGAGGCCACACGTTTCACACAAACCATTTGGGTTCCAAGGATATGGGATGGTGACAAGAAAAGCCCCCGMGTCCCTACCTGTACTTGGGGTGGGGATGGAGACAGCAAAACCACTTTTCTGGTAGAGACGCGGGATCAACCTTGTCAGGGAGTTTCCTCCACTTCAGGCACTCCTCACACTGCACCCATGTCTGATCTGGTCTCTCTCTGGGAAAAACAAACAAATAAATAAATAAAGCAACAGGCTAAATACCTCAGGTGTGGAGCAAAGGCTGCTCAGTGTCAGTGCTGCCACCTGACCCCGGGGTGCTCCCAGCATGTGGGACATTGGGATCCCAAAACGTAGGGAAGACCCAGTCACTTCTCTGCTGCCCCTGACTGCCAGTGGCGCCTTGGCCGAGGGACCCCCCAGGTGTCTGTAGGGACAGAGATCAGAGGTGGCTCTCACGCTACTATGCTGGCTGTATCGACGCTCCCCAAATTCATCTGGGCCATCTTTGTCTTCCAGTAGGTGTTGAGCTTCTGCCCCAGCACTGCCATTGTCCGTCTGGAAGGGAGAAACACAGCGAGAAACCGGTCAAATCCCACCCAAGAGCACAGGCAGCAGCATGGGGGAACAGGCAGGACAAACGGATGTCTCCCCCAGGAGCTCAGCTTAATCTTGCAACTGTGTGTTTTAGATTGGTGCCACCACGTCACTCGCCCCACAGCAGCCTAAGCTCGGCCTAAGTGCCTACCTCCTCACAGAGCACCCGGCCTTCCCCCTGGTCTCCGCAGAGGCAGCCCTGCTGCCGCAGACGCTCCCTCGCCTCCTGCAGCAGCTCACGACTCCCTTCCAAAGCAGGGCAAAGCCGAGGCCTTGCAGGGGACGTGAGGGCCGAGCAGGGCTCAGGAAACCTCTCACCCCGGCCACAAGCGCGGGTGTAGCACGAAAACACACTGGGGTGCACCTCAGGGCCCCCCGGGAGGGACACGTGCGGGAGACCAGGGCACCCAGCGCCGAGGGCCGGGGCAGTGTTGGCAGCTCCGTGTGGGGCAGCCCCGAGCGCAGCCCTCGCGAGCGGCTCTGCGCAGAGCACGGGGCGCTGCGGGCCGGACCTCGGGTCTTCCCCTTCATCAGGCCCGGGCCGTTTGCTGGTCTACCCTTTTGCTTAGCAGCAAATTCTAAGCTGGGGTGGGACTGAGAAAGTTCCCCACCAATTCTGCACCTCAAAATGATCCAGAAAGCCACCAAATTCGGCTGCCAGCAGAGGCTGGCGGGGGAGGAAGTCCACGAGCATCGCAGTCCTCTYACTTCCTGCTGAGGCAGGGACCCTGCAAACCCCGTCACTAAAGCTCCGTGTCATTTATTCTAATTTAGGAACAGTTCTCTAGCTGCATAGCAAAAATAGATCGCTTTGGTCCAGCCTGCCCCCCATTTTGGGGTGCCAGAAGTGTCTTTGGCGAGTGCAGCCCCCGGGGGCATTGGCTGGAGGCTCCCTGTGAGCACCCGGCCTTCCCTCTGGCTCCGAGGGGCTCGAGGGGCTCGAGGGGCTCTGCTGCAGCACACACGGAGGCCGTGTTGTTCTGTTGGGCTCTCCTTCGGGCTGGGTTCTGGTGGGCGAACGCGTGCGGTGGACACGCAGGCTGCGCCCACGCGCCGTCTCAGGGCTCTACGCTCCCCRTTGTGCAACTCTCCCCGCTCCCTGAGGGCAGCAGACATGGAAAACACGGCCCAGTCTAGACCCACTTCAGCACAGACAGCCCTAGAAGACGTGCAGCAGCTCAGACCGAAGGCTGCACCACAGAAAACACCTCCCCAGGCAGCAGCCCGGGGCACAGACCTCTCTCTCTTACCGGTACTCCTTGCTGTCTTCAAAGTCCTCTTTGTTCTGCGTCGTTTTTAAGAAGTTGCATTCGATCACCCCGACGACACCCACGCCTTCTCCCTGCGTTGGGGCCGGCAGTGACAGAAACGAGCTCTGTTAGCCAGGTTGCTCCCAGCAGGGAACGCCAGCAGCGCTCCAGAGGGAGCCAGGGGCTGCAGGTGAACCGGGGCTCGTGTCCCGCAGCCTTCACAGCCTCGMCGGGAAGAGGCACCCGCCGCACAGGCGCTTCCCGCCGGAGCTGAGCCTGGCCGGGGCACATCCACCCGCATCACCCCGCGGCAAGGCCGCCCGCCYGCCTCCTCACGGCTCCTCCGATGGCAGCGGGGCTGCTCTGCGGCCTCAAAGCCAGCTCTGCATCCGCTGTGGACACGCACTGGCCATCCCAACCCTCAGGACATCGCCTCAGGAACACCAGGTCTCTGGGCTCCGGCCGCTGCGTCGCGGGGAAGCAGGGACCCACAACAAGGCTGCTTTTGGCACAGCCCCATTCTGCCCTCTCCCAAATTAAAGGGGAGAGGGAGCCTGCGCAGGCGCTCACCTTCTTCTGGCAGCCCACCCGCTCGTAGGGCTTGATGAGGCGGTTCCTGTGGTACATCAGGACCCCATAGCGGCCTCCGTTCCTGCAGCTGAATCCAAAGGTGATCCGCACTCTCTTGTTCTGCGGGAAAGCCCCGTCAAGGAAGCGCTGCCGGGCGCGGGGGAGAGGCGGCCGCGGGGGACGTGGGTGCAGCCCCCGGGGAGCCCGGCCGCCGAGCCGGCACGCGCGGCCGCTGCAGCCCCCACCAGGGCTCCGGGCCCCATTTCCACCACACCGACAACACAAGCGGCCAGCGGSGGCCCCACGCCTATCGCCAACAAGATAACTAATGACTAAACTGCACTTGGGATTAAGAGATACAGCGCCTAATGTTTACAAAACTAAAACACTCCGTCAAGGCTGAAGCAACCCTAGCGAGCAGTAATAACACCAAGGACCGTGCAGAAGAACCAGCTCACCTTCAGCACGCTCCAGTTTCACAAATTCAGTTCTGAAGAGATCTGGGAAATTAGTATTAGGTAGGATTAAAACATTTCATTAATCTCTTTGAAGGTATTTTTGTTATTTCTTCAAGTCAGAGCTCATGCATTCGCACCGTTCGCACACGCCGCGTGCCTTCCACCACCTGGAACTGTTCAGCTGCAGAGCTCGAGCTCGCCAGGAGCTGCTACCTCACGCAGACTCGCTGTGAAAAGCCAAGGCATCCCTGGCAGCAACGGGAATAAACTGCCACCAGCTCCCTGGCCTCCACCCTGCTGCTCTTCTGCAAATCATCTATGAAAACAGTGGCTCGGCAGCGGACCTGCAGAGAGCAACTAGTGTGCGAAACCTTACCTATCAGKAAGGGAGCAAAGCAGAAGGGACTGGTGTTTTCATTCTCAGCTCCTGAGTAAACAGGGATGGAATTCAAGCAAATAACACTTTCTTCCCACATGCGATGAAGAAACTTCTATAACCACAGAAACTTGGGACACAAAGCTACCGTTAAGCATGTGAAAAGAGAGGGGGGAAAGACACTGAGATGCAGTTCGGAAGACCATAAGCTGTTCTTGCTGGAAGCCACCTGAAGAGATTTGCTACTCATATTGTTCTTTGCACTTGGCTCTGATCTGGAAACGCTCTTCTCCAAAAGGATGGATCAGTAGGTAAGCCAGAAAAGCCAAAACACTCGATGGRGAGGAAAAAACAAACACACAAAACATCAGCTTGCTCTGAGGATTAGCAACTTCTAGTCTGTCATGAAAAATAAGATATTAACTAAGGAATGGAACAGAACGGYTTTTCTAGTCTCTGCTCTCACTTTYGATAAAGTGTGTGCATTTTTTTTTTCCACTGAACTGAACTAACACTGATATTTAAAGACATTTTAGAAGCCTCAAGGCCCTGCCACCTCAGCCTCCTCGGAGGCAGCACATGAGCCTCAGTGCAACCCTCCCAACGTGCTCCTGCAGCAGCAGCCTCCAGCGTCCCTTCCACCTCCTCATCAAGACTGAACTTCTCAAAGGTGGCCAGAAGACAGGAAGGAGAAGGTAACTCAGCCTGTCTGCTCATCTAAATCCTGCCTTTCTCCAGGCACYGGGAGCAGGCCCAAGTGTGACCACGATGCTGGTCTGGAGCGTGGAGGCCGCCGCRGGCGCGCGGTGCCGGGTGGCGCGCGGGAAGGATACGGCAAAAATGGGTTTGTAAACGTCGTGCTCCATGTGGGCCAAGCTCTTGGACATCAGCTGGGCGGCCACCTTCTTCTGCCGCAGGACGATCTGCATGCGGGGCTTCAGGTACAAGATACTGCAATATGCCTGCGAGGGAGAGGAGGGAGAAACTGCGGAGATGAGGAAGGCATCACACATCCAAATTGTCCCATACARTCTTTTCCAAGTAAACTCAGACTCTGCATCCTCCATTCCCTGCAAGGCAGCAGGAGAGGGGGGTCCACCCTAACGCGATGCCAGAGGAGCAGGTCACCCCCACTGCAGCAAGCCTGGCCAAGGCCAAGCCTGGCCAAGGGCTGCCGCCTCCTTCCAGCTCTCCATAACTCACCCGCAGCGAGTACTCCGTCTCCAGGATGGAAAACTCTGGCATCATCTCCTGACAGGGCAGGATTTTTTTGCCACGAGTCTCCACGTTCCCTATGAGGAAGTCTGCCAACCGGATGTCGTGTTCATCCGTATCAAAATCCAGCTCCGGCTTCCCATCTTCATTTCTGAAAAACACCAGGCACAAAAATAGGGACAATCTCCCCGTTTCAGCCCACACCAGAGTCCAAAGAGGAAGCAGCTTTAATACAAGCACACATAAGCCTAGCACTTGGAAGCACAACAGCTTAGCAGGACTCCACTCTAGGGAAAGCAGTGACTAAACCTGTCCCTTTGCTCTTGACCCTGGCGTGGGGACACAGCTTCCCTGAGCGGGCTGCTCTTCTGTATCCAGGAGCAGCAGATAACGCAGTGTCCTGCCCGCAGCCCACACGCCTCGTTAGTCCTTGTTTAAACACAGGGGTTCCTGTGCAGAACACCAAAGTAAGAGAACATTTCACAACTGCCTCGATACACAGAAATATGGAAATTGAAAAACGTGTTTGGAATAGACGGAAAGAGACTGATCTCTCACAACTCCCCTCCGTGGGGAAGCAGGTAACTGCTTTATGTGGAATGTGATGCACTGGGAAGCAGGCAGCTGCTTCAGGTGGGATGCAGTGTCCCGGGAAGCAGGTAACTGCTTCAGGTGGGACGCGGTGCCCTGGACGAGGGCCCGAAGCGCCAGGCTGGGCGCCCTCCTGCCCGTACCTGCGGATGTTCCAGATGAGGATGCGCGTGCCCTTCTTGCCCGGGATGGCACTGAACTGCGCCAGCAGCTCCTCCCGGGTGCTGAACAGCGAGTGCTCCAGGATGGCCTCCAGGCTGGACACAGAGTCTTCGGTGACAATTATCTTCTCTAGGAGCCACAAGGTCAAGGAGAACAGGGCTGCAAGGACCCCCTGCAAAGAGGGGCAGGGAAACCCACCCAGCCACAAGCGCCCCTAGGAGGACACCCCGGAGAGGCACGAGCCTCTATGAACCACCGGAGGCCGGTCTCAAAGAGGGGCAGGGCAGAGCGGGCTGCGTGCGGGGCACCCCCGTGCGCGGGGCGGCTCAAGGATGCGGGTCTGCTGGTTGAACGGCACGAGGGGCAGGGGCAGCGCCGCGGCGCGGCCGCCCTCCAGGTAGCTCTGCGAGAGCAGCCCCACGGTGAGCGCGCCGCCGTTCTTGGTGAAGACCATSGCGTCCTTGCCCAGGCGCATGGCGCCGCGCTCGAGGCCGCCGGCGCAGGGCGYGCGGCACGGCGCCGCGCTCGCCGCCGCGCTCTCCTCGCACCCGGAGCTGCGGGCAGACAGAGCAGAAGGCGCTGGAGGCGGGAGAGCGGGGAGCAGCGCCGGCCTCCTCTCGCGCTCCCGCATGGGAAGGGTTTTGCRGGGAGCTTCCCCTCGGTGCATGTGGGGCAGGAGGGCGGGCGCGGAGGCCGGGGCACCTCCTGCCTCTGCACACACGGGAAGGGGCCAGGCTCCTGAACCCCCTCAGCTGTGGTCTGGCACTGGTGGCGATTAAAGAAAAGCAGCTTCTCTGCTTCGCTCTCCTGCCTCTTCTCCTCCACCAAGCAAAACGAGGCCTTCGCCCTACACTCGCACCCTGCGGGGCGCGCTCTCTGCACGGAAAGGGGCAGCTCTGGCAGGCCGGGCGCTCTGCCGCTGTGGGTCAGAGCGCGGAGCAGCCCAGGCGGGGCAGCCCGCGCACAGCGCAGGAGCAGCAGCGGGGCCGCGAGGCCGCGGGCAGCCGGGCACGGCGGGCAGCGCCCGTTCCTGCGGGCCCAGGACCGGCAGCTTCCACAGGGAAACACCTCCCAGCGGCGCCACGAGCTCTGAAGCAGCGTCAGGCAACGTCTCCTCACTCGCGTGTGACCCCGGACGGCCCGGAGCTGAACGGCGCGGGCTCTGGGTGCAACCTCAGCCCCGCGCCGGTGCCGCTCCCGCTGGGCACTGCCGGGACGGGCCCCTCGTGTCCGCGGGCAGGAGCGCGCGGGGCACGGCTGCGGCGGCAGCCCCGGCCGCCCGTACCTCAGCATGCGGTGCAGCCTGTGCGGGGTCATGCCGGCCCCGTTGTCCGTGAGGCTCAGGCAGCGCTGGCCCCGCAGCTGCAGCACGTCGATGCTGAGGCGCCGCGCCGCCGCGCCGCCCTCCGCGGCGTTGTCTGCGGGGGGAAACGGGCCGCGCTGCCGACC